AAGTACACAATATCGAATACAACGGAATTGACTGAAAAAATAAAAGACTCGGCGATCGCGATGGATACTAAACTGGTACATATTCAAGTTGCATTAAAAATCAGAGACCGGAAATAATTTTTATCCTAATATTTAGGATCAAAAACGTCGCCTTGTTTTAAGAGAATTTTTTTTCGTCTTTGTATAATAATTATTTACGAGAAATATCTTTTTTAGTCTCTCGGGACGATTATTTCATGACGAATATTATTTGCGTCTTCTCATAATAATTATATGTGCTTTTTATTTTTTTTCGTCTCTCGGGACGTTTATTTCACGACGAATATGATTTACGTCTTCTCATAATAATTATATAGGCTTTTTTTCTTCTCTCGCGGCGTTTATTTCAAGACGAATATTATTTACGTCCTCTCAAAATAATTATATGGGCTTTTTATTTTTTTTCGTCTCTCGGGACGTTTATTTCACGACGAATATGATTTACGTCTTCTCATAATAATTATATAGGCTTTTTTTCTTCTCTCGCGGCGTTTATTTCAAGACGAATATTATTTACGTCCTCTCAAAATAATTATATGGGCTTTTTATTTTTTTTCGTCTCTCGGGACGTTTATTTCAAGACGAATATGATTTACGCCTTCTCATAATAATTATATGGGCTTTTTACTTTTTTTTCGTCTCTGGGGACGTTTATTTCAAGACGAATATGATTTACGCCTTCTCATAATAATTATATGGGCTTTTTACTTTTTTTTCGTCTCTGGGGACGTTTATTTCAAGACGAATATGATTTACGCCTTCTCATAATAATTATATGGGCTTTTTACTTTTTTTTCGTCTCTGGGGACGTTTATTTCAAGACGAATATGATTTACGCCTTCTCATAATAATTATATGGGCTTTTTACTTTTTTTTCGTCTCTGGGGACGTTTATTTCAAGACGAATATGATTTACGCCTTCTCATAATAATTATATGGGCTTTTTACTTTTTTTTCGTCTCTGGGGACGTTTATTTCAAGACGAATATGATTTACGCCTTCTCATAATAATTATATGGGCTTTTTACTTTTTTTTCGTCTCTGGGGACGTTTATTTCAAGACGAATATGATTTACGCCTTCTCATAATAATTATATGGGCTTTTTACTTTTTTTTCGTCTCTGGGGACGTTTATTTCAAGACGAATATGATTTACGCCTTCTCATAATAATTATATGGGCTTTTTACTTTTTTTTCGTCTCTGGGGACGTTTATTTCAAGACGAATATGATTTACGCCTTCTCATAATAATTATATGGGCTTTTTACTTTTTTTTCGTCTCTGGGGACGTTTATTTCAAGACGAATATGATTTACGCCTTCTCATAATAATTATATGGGCTTTTTACTTTTTTTTCGTCTCTGGGGACGTTTATTTCAAGACGAATATGATTTACGCCTTCTCATAATAATTATATGGGCTTTTTACTTTTTTTTCGTCTCTGGGGACGTTTATTTCAAGACGAATATGATTTACGTCCCACGTTTTTCTTAATAGAATCGGTACAGCTATTTAATTGACATTTAATTTAAATTTTAATTTTTATTAAATTTTGCATTTAAGTTTTACTCCTTTCACCAATACACACTTGGCATAATTCAATTTTCTGGCATAAATGAACTAATGCAGCTTCGAAGTTGAAATTTGGCGAAGTCAATTGCCATGGCATTTATAAGAAGATGACCAAATTTTGGTCCATCGGGCCACGCCCACCTTCACCGCCCATATAACATTATTTGTAGCTTTAAATGTTTTCAATGAGAAGTGAGTAAATCGTATACGTATTTATACAAAGTAAAGTTGCAAATGTGGTGTAACACATTTACTCAAAAACCTCTGGACCGATTTTGACGAAATTTTAACACAAGACATATATATTTGGAGAAGGTTTGATTAGGGAATTAGGTAATTTAGATATGTATCACAATCGGCATCAGACGAAAGAGCTGGAAGCTTTTAGTTTGAAAATAATATTTTTAAGTGGGTTGCCGACTATTTGAAAAGTCTAATTTAATTTAAATATTCATAAGTTATAAGATATATTAAAATATGGATGTCAAACGTAAGGGTGCAATGAAATATTTAGTTCGAAGATTTAAACTTTGCCTTTCCTCCTCTCCAGTGGCGTTATATTTTTAACGCAACTACTTACTTCCAAACTAGATCAAGAAGTTTCACATCAATTATTTGAATTCCACTTTTTAAGAAGTGGCAACCCTCTTATATATAGTTAAAAAATAAAATAATCACAACCATTTGGATTGATACCCATATGTTAAAACTCATATAACTTTTTAAATAACTTTAATATTTTGAATTTAATTTCTAATATGTGGCAACCCTTTTCTGAAAAATAAAACCATATTGCACTTCTACATACCAATCTCTTCAATTTTCGGTGCAGATCTGGTGACGGTGGGTTAAATATTTTACGTAAACATCTCCGAACTCGATTATTTGGATTTGATTTTCTAACATATGGCAACACTTTTCAAAGAACCAAAACCGTGTAAAAGCAAAGCCCTTTAATATACATATTTATAAATAAATATATTTAACGCTTTAAGGGCCGTTAACGTATCTGTGTTAAGCTATAGTTTATTTATTTATTTAATTCATTAGTTAAACTTGACTACAGAAAATTCCATAGAATTACTTGAAAATAGATAAGTTAACGGCCCTAAACCTCCGAACTCGATAAAGAAGTTTTAATTCAATAAAAGTCTCATATGATTATTATGAGAAGACGTAAATCATATTCATCTTGAAATAAACGTCCCGAGAGACGAAAACAAATAAAAATCCCATATAATTATTGTTTACTGAGAGGAAGTAAATAATATTCGTCATGAAATAAACGTCCCGAGAGACGAAAAAAATAAAAAGCCTATATAATTATTATGAGAAGACGTAAATAATATTCGTCTTGAAATAATCGTCTTGTTAGACGAAAACAACTTTTCCATTGTTCAGTAATAATTATATAGCAATATTTAATTTTATTTCTTATAATCGTTATGGTCTCTGTTAAAAATATGTTCTCAATGAGTGTTTTCCATTTCGTTGATATTTTCGAAAACTGCATTTATCGAAGAAAATATTTCTAAAAATAAAGGTGTTAGATCTCTTCTGTTTATTACTTACAGCCACATATCACATAGCAACAGAGAAAGAGCGTACAGGAGCAACTAATAATTGGCTCACATTTGCGACTTTTAACATAACCTCATATAATAATAATGGCATTTATGGTATTTTTAAGGGGTTTTTAGGTTAAGTTTACATGGGAGGTATTTTTGTGTTAAAATAATCCCATTAATTCCATTTTTTTGGAGTTCATACACAACATTATTGCCAGGGAACGGATTTTGAGGACCTAAAAACCTATAAAAAAGGGAAAATAAAATAGCGAAAGAAGCACTAGAAATCGCATAAAAGGCAAAAAAAAGGCACTAAAAAGAGAAAAACCGAAAACCGTATGTATATATGAGATTTTCTTTTAAATCGGTAAAATACATATAAAATTAAAGTGTGTATAAAATTGTTTATTACAGAACCGAAAAGTACCAGACGCCATATAAGGAAAACTGATTTATTATGAAATATAAATAAAATGGCAGCATTAAATGCCATTTTGCATTTTCTCGCTTCAGTTCGGGAACATTGTTTACTTTTATTTAATAACAAAACAAGTAATTTTTAAGCAAAAAACAAAACAGATTTCAATCCTCATATAAAAGTTCAAGAATATCGTTAATTTCTTCACGATCCAATTATCGGATCTAAACAAAATTAGTATGGGACCACCCCTGAGGTACCACCTTTCCGAAAAAGAAAAAAATAATTATCGAAATCGGTTAACGTGGTCTAAAGTTATGCGGTAACATACATAAAAAAATATATATATACATATATATATATATATTCCGACGAATTGATAACCTCCTCCTTTTTGTGAAGTCGGTTAATAAACATTATTTTGTTGTAAAATGTATATGCTTTTTGAAAACGTTTTATAATAAAATATGTTACTACCCCTTTTTCAGTTTTAGTTCAGAAAGTTGCAATTCATATTCAGAAATTCTATTTCAAATTCAGATAGTTACAATTCAAGTTCAGAATTTCCATTTCAAATTCAGAATTTTCATTTCAAATTCAGAAAGTTACAATTCAAATTCAGAATTTTCCTTCTAAATTCAGAAAGTTGCTATTCGAATTCAGAATTTACATTTCAAATTCAGAAAGTTGCAATTCAAATTCAGAAAGTTACATTTCAAATTCAGAATTTCCATTTCAAATTCAGAAACCTTCATTTCAAATTCAGAAATTTACAATTCAAATTCAGAAAGTTACGATTCAAGTTCAGAAAATTTTCGTTTCAAATTCAGAAATTTCCAATTTAAGTTCGGAAAATTTCAATATTCACTGTACGATTTGGAGATTTTAAGTTGTATCTTCGTTTGCGATCTGAAAATTCTGAATTTGAAGTGGAAATTCTGAACTTGAATTGTAACTTTCTGAATGTAAATTGCAACTTTCTGAACTAAAACTGAAATAGGTGCGTTTCAGAAGAGAATATTGGTGATTTAGTGAATTTTTGAGCGGGCAATTGCTCATAAAAAAGAGCAATATTCCAAGAGGTTGTTTTGTTAATAACTTTTGCACGGTTAACAATACTAACCCTCCGCCTCCGAATTGTTAATACAGGGATAAAAACGCGCCGATTAGTACGCCTCCTGACATTTATGGACGTTTTTTTTTGTTTGCAAGTTCTACCTTAAACTAGCCAATTACCGAGTTACTTGTTATATGCACACTAGCTGTGCACTAGGTAAACATTACAAAAATAATTATCAAAGGCGAAATAACGCCATAATGGCTACGCAAATATATGGCCTTATTTCTCATTATGAAGTGAAATAAAGCCATATGGCGTTATTTCTTATTGCTTTATTGCACGGCGCCCTTCGAACCATCCTTATCAGCATAAAAAAGCCGCCTTTAGACAGATGATTCAATGTAATTGAGCGAATACCACTAAAAAAAGGATACAAAAAAGAACTGAACGCAATATATGCCATAGCGGCTAATAACGGATACAAAAGAGATCTGGTAGAAGAAATCCGAAGGGAACACAAAAACAAAAAGCCAAACAAAGAAGAAAACAATGACAAAAATTGGGAGGTATTAACCTATACTAGACGAAAATCACATTACCTAAGATAAATGAACATAAATTAAGGAAAAACAGAAGCTCGAACCAGACAGAACGAAAGTTGATACTGAAGATGCAAACCAAGCTTGACAAGTCTGCGCGGGAAACAAGTTATGTACATTAACAGAGCACTTAGAATTGCCAGCTGACCATGAAACTTGCTGGTTTTTGCAGCCCATGTATTATACCGAATAAGCCACTGTAAAAGCACATTTAAACATGAAGTCGGGTTTTATTTTAATTCAGTTAATGATTCGAGGTTACACTAATAAACTTATTTCAATAGAAACTTAGTTTAATTTATCCTTATCAGCATGTAGCAGTTTCCGGGGCAATGTACCGTGAGTTTTCATATGACCACAAAGGCCCGAACTTTGCGCAAAACGTTTTCCACAAAATTTGCATGTATATTTCTTTTCCGCGTTGTGAATCAGCTGATGCTGTCGCAATTGCTTAAGATTTTTAAAGCCCTTGTTACACACTCCGCAAATCTGATCTCGCACATTCTTATGAACGGCCATGTGTTCGCGTAAGCTTTTAGTTTCATAGAACATTTTTGGACAAAGTTTACATTTGTGACGATATCGTTTTTCGTGACGCCGGTGCATGTGCAATAAAAGGTGCGATGACGTCAAAGCTTTCTCGCCACAAATAGAACAAACAAAGGGCCTTTCGCCTGTGTGTGTACGCATGTGGATTTTAATTTCTGTGGTTGTTGCGCACGGCTTGTTGCACACTTCACAATTGTACTGGTAGTCTTGTACGTGTCTTCTAAGATGAACCGTTAAATTAGTACCCAACTGAAAACCATGACCACAGATGTTACAAATAAACGGCAGCGAACCATCGTGTTCTGCAAAATGTACTTTCAGCTGACCTAACCCAGGAAGTAATTTCCCACATTTGGAGCATTCAAAGGGGGCAACGTCGACTTCGAGAAATGATATATAATCGTAAAATAGGTACGTGGTTATATGAATGGAATTGGTTTTTTTGCATGATATTTTTAGTTTCTTTTCATTTGAGCAGATTTTTCGCAACAGTATAATTTCTTTTTTCAAATCCTGGTGTGACAAATTTAGTCCAGTTTTTGTATTAAATTCATTGAAAACAGCGCGTAAAGATTCTTCACGTCTGTTTTTAAACCTATAAGCGATGTCCTCTTCATTCCAAAGGCAAGTATGTAATTTATAAATATCAGCCAAAATTATGCACTGCGCATCATCCAATATTGAACTATCCCTGGGGCATTTGTTATTATTAAATTTGAATTTATTCTGTAACAAAAATAAAATTATTTATTAAATTAAATTTAAAAATAATTATTTTAAATTCTTCATAGATAGATATTCTAGTAATGTTTATTTCCCACTTGATTTTTAAAATAATACAATCATTATTTCCGCATCGAACAAATCGCAAACATTTTTGGATACATTTTTCAAACCGCAAATTTATGCAATATTTTTCAACGTTTTACGTTCTTTCAACGGTAACAACATAACATACATACATACATACATATGTATATTAATCATATATGTAATACTTCTATATTGGCAGTAAGCTAACTGCTCAATGTGAAAGCATTCCGAAATCAAACCGAGACAGTCTAATACCGTTTTTGTGTATGTGTTGTGTTCATGTTTATTTATAAACGTATCTCAGTAGCGAAAATGGTCACCGGTGGTATCGTCACTAATGAGGATTTAGTGACATCGTCTCACTTGCTGTGATTTTTATTTTACTTAGCGAGAGAAAAACCACTTGCCTGGATATATAACTGTCGCGCCGATTAGACTGGGATCGTTACGGTTTAATAGTAGGGGACTTGGGGCGCGTCAGATTAACATATGGGGGATACCCTGGAGCCTGTTGAGTACCTCTACCAAATCTAAGCCATCTGTGTAGTGCCGCGCGAGTTATGTACATACATACATATTAAAGGCCAGCGCAAGTGTATTTGCCGCATTTCGTTCAATAAGTACTCTTTGCATTGTACTCTACTCCCAACACATTGTTACTCTTTTTCCTCATACATACACTACTTGGCGTTGAGAGAGTAAATACTTGACGTAATTGCTATTACTCCACCAAAGTAGGTACTCTACTTTCTCTCATCGCGTACGAGAGATGTTTGCTGCTGCCAAAAGGGAGTAGCAAATCTACTCTCTGTATACATGTAGTACTGTAAGTACTTGCGTATTTAATTTCAATTCTGGTTGTTAGCCTACTAGTTGATATCGTTTGCGGCGCTGGTCAGCGAAATTAAAGGAGTAAAAATAGAATATGGAAATTGACGATGTAAGGAAATATTTAAGGCCTTATTTATAAAAAACAACGTAGATTTAAACAGTTGTTTAATGTGACATTTTCATAAAACTTTTGTATTTAAACAACTTTTTAAATCTATGTATGTACTTAAATTTTTATGAAAGTATTATTTCTCCTTTCTAATTTTCTATAAAACTATTTGCAGTCATTAACCAACACATAAGTTGTCAAAAACAATAACTTAAGCAATGCTGCTATACGAAATAAAATTATTAGTGGCAAATCAAAATTTTGAAAAGTGCCGATTTTCACATTCGATAGTGGGACATGGTAGCGACGAGATGTACGAGCATTTTTTTCTTAAGAGCTGCATACTGATTTAAGAAATTTTTTATAGAAGCAAATTTATTTTCCATTTATTGTGCGTAATCTAATATATAAAAATCTCGTGTCACGGTGTTAGTGGTCGAACTCCTCCTAAACGGCTTGACCGATCTTTATGAAATTTTTTGTGCATATATGGTAGGTATGAGAATCGGATGTAAAGTATATTTCATACCATTTGGTGCAGGGGGCGTGGCACCTCCCATACAAATCGAATTTTTCACACTACATATCTCTGAAAGTGTTCATGGTAGAGTACTGAAACTAGGTATGGAGATATATGAAATCAATCACATGGTCATGAAGAAAAATTGGGGCTATTAGAAAAAGAACGTGGCACATCCCATTCAAACCGGATTTTTCATACTGCATATCTCTGGAAGTGTTCATGGTAGAGTACTCGAACATTGTATGGAGATATATGAAATCAATCCCATACTCTTAGAGAAAATTGGGGCTATTTTATAAGGGGCCGTGGAGCCTTTCAAACGCACTGAAGCTATTACGTATCTTTGTATGCATATATACTTTTGCTAGGTTATTTAAGATGGCAATGAAAATATGCCTTCTGACAACAACCAAACCGTCATATTGGAAGATAAATGCGTCACTGAAAATCATTTCACTGTTGGTGAAAATGTTGGACCAAAATGTTTCGATACAAAAAATAAATTTTGGGCGGGACGAAGTTCGCCGGGTCTGCTAGTTTTATTTGAATTTTTAGTTTTTCTTGAGAGCCTTTACAAATAAAAAAATTTCGGAACTGTATGTACATATGTACATACATACGCAGCCATATAACTTGATTTCAAGAGAAACGAATTTTCGTTGGGCACGTTCAAAAGGCGCAACAGGTCAGTAACTGGTGCGATTGCACTTTCTGAACGCGTTGTTGCGTACTTCTGATCAACTGAATAGTTGCGTGTTAAGGCGCTGGCCCAATGCAGGCTTGCTTTGCACGCCTTACTTACTTTAATTTGCTTTGATTTACTTCAAAAACTCGTTTGGCCAAATGGCGGCTTGGAACGCTGTCAAAGCTACCAGCTGTGTAGTTAAAAAATTAAGGTGTGTTCCCTTACACTAAGAATAATTTTCCCACAAAATTCCAGAAAACTAAAAAAAAATACAAGCAATCTTTTCAGATTTATTTTTAAATTGATGCGAATTAATTTTTGCATTTCAAAGGAATGATAATAATTATACATAATAGGTACATTTATTAAAAACAAAACAAAAATCCAATTTTTCAAGAGACGACTGACCAGTAGTTTGACATCATAAATATCGCTAGCTTTGTGTGAAAAGTTGCTAAGTCCACAATTTGTGAAACCTCATGATATAGGAAGCAAGAAAATTAAAGATTAAGGTACTTGTTTTATTTTTTCTCATTTATATTCAATGGAAGGCAAATTTTCTAAGTCCAGAAGAGGCCCCGAAAATCCGATAAGGCCAAAATAATACGATATCTTTTAATAAAGATCGAATCCTTTTGATTCGTATGGAGTTTTGCTTTGCTTTAAACACGCAAAATGTTGTATTCAAAGTTCCTGTAAAATTTGTAAAAATGGACTTAGCAACTTTTCAGTCAGCGATATGTTAAATGTAAATATGGAAACATATAATCACTTTTATTAAACTTTGAATAACTTATATTATATATATTTTTTTAATTACGTAAGCAAATTTTTGTTCATAAAAGGGCGCAGCAGTTTGAATTCATTTAGAACGGGAACATACCTTTTTGTCAAAAGCCTACAAAGCGCTTTCAAATAAAACATTTGCCTATT